TACAGAATGTGTTGCTGGATATATCTTTAGACAGTGTCATCATCCCATTCACACCAGATCTTATCTTCCTACACACAACAACAAATTACTTCAGAAATATTGACAAGACAGCAGTGCAATCAAAGTATAATCTAGTTATATTTAAGTGACAGTGCACATCGATAGATAATAAAACAGTGGTGGGGTCTGTTTAAAAAAGTAAGGAAGACGATGGCTAAAATTCTCAAACACTGAGTTTTATTTATTGTCTGCAAAATGTATATATAATACATAATTTGACTGAAAGACTGTGACTTACACAAGACACAAAGCTAACACAAAACCCCCTGAATCTATAGAGCGATATGCTGATAACTGATTCTCTATTTATTGGCACTTAGAAGTTAGAGAAGCCACAGTCCTGTTGGTTGGCATGAGCTCAACTTAAACTGTCAGTTCCTCTTTATACAATTTCAGATCTGCTGCTGTGATAGCAAAATTTAGACAGAGTTGAGACCACAGCTAATACATTCACACGCTAAGGTTGGAAGAACGTTGAGTTTGCTTTGTGCAGTTTTTGAGGGAATCAAATTTCACCTATTTTCATCTGGTCACCCTGAATGTACTGTTGTTACATTCAGGATGAGAAAAAAGGGAGTTATCCAACCCGTCACAGCACAGATCTGTGAAAATGAAAAGTCAAATTGTTCATCATCTCATCTGTGTCATGATGTCAGAATTCCTCTGCAGTGTTGGATAGAAAATATGACTAAGGCAGCATTTAACTGACATTGTCCTACCCTAGGCTGTTTTGTAATGACAGCAGAGCAGGACACCAAACATTACAATTTCAACAAGCAGGCCGGTAAAAACTGTTACAAGAGATTAAGGCCCTGACGCTGCAGGAAGAAACATATAGAGAGCTGAATTTATGATGTCAGGTCTGAACGAACTGCAATTTCTAATTCAACATTTCCTTCATAGGTTTCTCTGAGAAATTAAGCTAGTTCCTTGGGTTTACTGTCCATATTCTCAGACAAATCACTGCAGCAGCTGCTATTAGAAATGGAAACACAATGATAACAGTGGGACCTGCCCAGGGACTACAGATGGAAATGAGCTGGTAGCTAAACCTGCTACAAAGCTGCTGCCTCTCTTTTGAGATATAAATAAATGCAATAAACAAAAACAAAATTCCCATAAAAAATAAGTAACTTGGTTACATTTTTTCCTATTTGGAGTCTCTGCTGTCCAAAACTGTTTACAACATTCAGTCCTCTCTGTCCTCTGTTTGAGTCTGAGCTCTTTTGTCAAGCCATGACATTTAGTTAGGATGGTCGATGGCCATATAATGCATCCAAGAAGGACTTGGGTTTGTGTCCCATCACAGTGTGGGGACTGGGATACTGGACTCAGAAGCAGACTCAGGTCAATTCCAGGGATAAAAAACAGTTTATTGGAAGGAGTTGGCTATTGAGACGGAGGAGGGAGCGTCGGAGCAGTGCAGAGGGCAGACCAGGGAGAGGAGGCTTACTCGTGAGTATCCAGGTAGGCAGTGACCCTGAGCACAGGGAGGACAAGGTAATCTAGATTCTCACAGAGAAAATACACCTGAAATGTCACTATAAACAATAGTTGGCCACAACCCAAATTTAGCTGACGATCTGGTGAAGAGTTCGGTGAAGATTCGGGCTGATATACTGCAGAGTCTTGATTAGTGGAATGGGGAACTCTCCAGACTCAGACCATTACAGTGTAATACCTTCCTGTAATCTATGAATGTTGCATGTGGTTCCAGTCATTGACCCCCATTTCAGAACAGTCTAACAAGGAGTCCTTAAACAGCATCATTCTCCACTCAGCTCAGTGAGACACAGTCAGAGGTGATGCGCTGCACTCTATCAGGACTCACTGTGAGAGAAGCTGATGAATGAAAATCTGAGAAAAACATGTAATGAGTCAAACCAAATACAGAGATATTTTGAGTTCTATGTTTCACTGTTGCGGTGATTGCAGTGAGCGGAGGGTCGGCAGGAGAGAAGGGTTTGCTAGATGTGTGTTATGGAGAAGATTACCAAGACTTTTTCAACTTGCTTCACATTGCGATCACTCTCAACAATCTTTACTGGCATCAGAAACTGGAGAAAACACAAGCAGTGCGTGCTGACCAAGATCAGTTCTTGGGCTCCCCGCATGATATCTCTGTAGTTGTTTTGTGAGAGGGCCACATTCAGTCCTGGGCAAAAGACACAAAAGCAATGTTCAAGCTTCCAAAATGTCTTATTTAGTATATAATGTAATGTTTTAGGATGTTTCAGTAACTTACAGTTATTGTTTCAGAAACAGGAACTTTTCAGTAACTTAGTTAAAGTTTTATTAAATTACACTGTACAAAAATAACATTCCTGTTAACTTTAGCTCAAGTTACAGTACAGTCTTTGATGCAACACTTCTTTGTAAGGCTTAATGAACAGTAGAAGCTCTAGTGTACGAGACATTCTCAAGATCCCAGTTTGTATTTTGTATCCCACTATAACTTTTGCTAGATGTCTACATATGTTATTAGTCATGATGTGAAATATACCTACAACAAAATACTTGATCATCTGTGCATTATAAAGGTGGGATACATTTTATGGCAGGTTGAAAATACAGTCTGAAATGATCTCTATCCCACTATAACTTTTGCTAGGAAAATAGAAACGTCTCCATATTCACTCCTGTTATTAGTCCTGTTTTGAAGTACAAACAAAATTAAATACTTGAGAACAGGCCATCATCTGTGCATTATGGACGGGGATACATATTTCGTCAGACTGCTTGGCCAGCCTGGTAGCACCAGTAAGCTACTGTTATTGCTTTTTTGTGTATGAAAAGTTCTTTGCAATGCATTATTAAATTGTTATGATATTAACTTAACCTTGAAGGAGGGAGACTGAGAACAATTTCCAGCAATATCCAAAGGCCATGCAATGGAAACATCGATTACAAGGACAAAATGTTGTCTACAATGTGGCATTCAGTTAAATGTACATTTCAAGTCAAGTAGATGTAACCTTGAGGCGAGCAATGTGTTTAACTGATTACAGTGATGTTGATTTTACAGTATCGATGGCGTAGATATTTGTAGGAGCAGCTTATTGAAAAGGTGACAGTCTGTCTAGATCCAGCTTCCAAACAGTAACATGGATGAGTGATCTACTCTGCTGGTCAGTTATAACATCATCAAAACTACCGCAAAATAATTGTTTGCTTTACGAGGGAAACTAAATGCTCGTTTTGTTTAGACATTCTCAATTCAGTCCAATTAACAATACGAAGTTCAATAACATGTTACGTTAATGTTAAAACCATTCTTATAATCCGTTTGCTAGCTTGCAAAATCCTTGTTGATAAAAAAAATACTAAAACGACAGATATTTAAAACAATCCATATTTTTCATTTACTTTCGTGAAGTCGAAAGTCTGCCTTCATCGTTGAATGCATGCAGGGGGAACACTTTCTATCAGGGATAACTACCTTGGCACGACACTGGACAGTGGCGATGTAACATCCCAAAGGATCCAACTACTTGAGACACATTTGTTCCGCCTTTCACATCATTGCCATTTCGTCGCAAGGAAGATATATAACGATGATTATAGTAGACTTTTTGTTCAGAGGGGGGCCACAGGGGGGTCCAAATTTTGTGTTACAGGGGCACTGGCCCCTGTTGACTCCCCCCTAAAACCGCCACAGCTAGTTTGAGAACAGCCTTATACCAGAAGAACCTCCATCCTGCAGATGGATCTTTAACACTGCAGCTCAGAGTTACTGAGGCTCCAGGACTCAGCCAGGATGGAGACACAGTGAGGACAGACTGGGGTTGATCTGTTGGAAATGATTTTCTTTGAATGATGATGCACAGTCCTGTTAATGTGTTACATGCAGTGCTTAAATTCTTCACATTTGAAACTTTTGAATTGTGAGTCTCTCTCTCTCTCTCTCCCTTCAAGTCGCTTCTTTCTGTGGATCACTACAATTGTTTCTCTGAAATTGCTCATCCCAACACCTCCAATCTCACCTCACCTGATTGGAGTCCAGGTTGGCTGACTCCTGACACCAATCAGCTTTTGGAGAAGTCATTGATCCAGGGGTGCACATTGTTTTTTCACCCTGCACTGTGAATGTTTACCCAGTGTGTTCAATAAAAACATGAAAACATGTAATTGTTTGTGTGGTATTAGCTTAAGTGGTCTGTGGTTGTCTATTGCTGTGATCAGATCACATATTATCACCAATTTATGCAGAAATCCAAGTAAATAAAGTAAATAGTAACAACATCATTGAAGCAGCAGGTTTGTCCCAAATCCACACTACATATCAATTCTCAGCAAGTTTTGAGCAGTGTGTTTACACTTGAAAAGTGGGCATATAAAGTATACTCAAAACAGTCTGCATGCATACTAAAAAAACCTTTTAGTGTGCTGTTGAAGGAAAATGCAGTGCACAAAGGAAATGGAGGAGCTGCTCTCTGCTGGAAGTCAACCAAATGGTGGATAGTGGTGAAACAGCTCCAGAATCACAGAGTTGCCTCAAAGGGCTTTGCAATCTGTACAACATACAAAAGGAATTAAACCTCAGAAACCAAACAAAAAATAAATAATGCTTGCTGTGTCATTGGCATTGTCATTTAAAAGTTACAGTTTGATCAACATCTGACAGAAGCATTGCATAATTTCCTATTTAAAAAGAAGTTAAGTGGGTTGATTTCCTGTATACTAACTTTAAACACAGTATACTATAAAGATCAGTACACAGGACATACTGTACCATTAAATTCAGCATTTAATTTAGTTGCAAAAGTGCTGCCAAAGTAATAACCTCAATAAAAGAAAGCAAACATTCTTTGAAATATTTTATACTTAGTATTTTCACATTTCTGGTTTTGTTGTTTTCCCAAGCTGTGTAGCTATGAGCCGCAAAACTGTGCTGAGAAAATCACATAAAAATGACAAAAAAGCAATTAAGGGCACAACTGTTGGCTGTTGAAAAAAGGTTTATTGCTGCATAAAATGAGACTAAGCTTTCAAAATAACATCCAGGTACAAACAAAGTACATACATTATCAATCCATGTTTAAAAGACAAAATAAAAGTTCATTTTACATGAAAAAGTAATACTCTTCTTGTTATGGACCTGGAAGAAAATCAGAGAAAGCAGAGATAAAAGGTTATTTAAGATGTAGTTGAATAATAACAAACAGTTTCAACTGTTATTGCAGGATATGGAGAGATGATTAGTTTGAAATGTTTACCAATAAAAGATTTACAGTTTTCCTCAATTGCTTAAACACATTTCTTGAAATTATGCCTATTTTTCTCGAAACTCTAAACACAAATCCACAACTTCTCACCCAATTCCCCAAACATCCTACTTTCAGGTCAAAATGAAGCTTTCCACTCAAAACCACTCAATCTTGCTGAAAAACCAAACTTTGTCGCCTCAGACATGAGACACAAGCCCTCAAAAACACACACACACACAGTCTTACACACTAGTGGGATGAATTCAAAACAATACTACAAAAACTGGTTATTAGTAATGTTGCGTGTGGTTCTCCCCCTCAAAAATCTTTTTCACATGATGAACAAAATAAATAACAAATGTATAATTTTGCACATTTCCACACATTTTTTATTCCTTAGTGTGCTGTACAGTACAACACACCACAACAAATTATTCTGTCCCAGCATCCTGTCTTTGGTCTGGGACAGACCAGAGATTCTCGTTCTCCACCTCCTCCCCCTCTCTACTCTTCCTCCCTACTCCTGCTCCGCCTCCTCCTACTGCTCATCTTCCTCCTATCCCATCTTCTCCTCCTCCACTCTTCCTCTTCCTTCACCTCTTCCTCCTATCCACACTGATCTTCCTCCTCCTCCTCATCTTCCTCCTTCTCCTCTCTGGTGTCCTCTTCTCTGAATCCATTGTTTCAAAACTGAATGAACTGACTCCGGCCCTTTTATCTCTCTATTGAAGTTTCTGATTGGTGTGTTATCAATGTTGCCTGTTTGTGTTTCCACCTGGGTAGCTGTGTTCTAATTGAGCTCAACCTGTGCTGATTGAGTGAACAATATTGAAATGAACCTTTGGGCCACCACTGCCGCCTAAATTTGTGTGTAGTTTAGAGAAATGGGTGTACTTTTTGAAAAAGCCTGGTTATAGTATTTAAGCAATGGAGCAAAATTGTAACTGAAAAATGTGCAGCATATGTTGACAATATATTAATTCCTGTGCAATTTCAAAAGAACCAGTGTGTTCATACACAAGTACTTATTTACAAAGTTAACAAAGCAAAACTCACAAGATGAAACTAACTAAAATGCACTAAACTAAGACAAAGAGATCTGTGTCCCTAATAAGGTAAGGACAGTTTGTGTGCGTGTGGGTGCGTGTGAGCACATGTGGTCAAACAAAGGACAAAAGTTGTAGTTCCTTCCTGCATAGACCTATGTGTGGTTGTTTTAATGCTGCAGTTAAGCTATTAGCCGCATTTCCACAAAAAGTGTAGTGTAGTTCACTGGATCTCCTCTTCCAGCTCTGCACTTATATCCTGCTGTGTGTGTCTGTGTGTTTGCTACGTTGCTGAAATATGGTATATGAAAGCTAACACTACAGCACTTCATAGTCATATTCTAATTTGTGTTGATACAAACTGACTAAAATAATGCACAGGTTGTCAATAAATTAAGATGATGTGATTAAGAGAGATGCAGAAAAACAGACAACAAGGGAAACTGTGCAATCACCTTCAGCATGTCCAGAGTGGAGGAGCGTATTCAGCACTAAAAGAAAAGAGAGTTCATCAGACATTATCACACTGACAGAAGCTGTCAAAATGAGAATAAACAAAGGCATTTAAAAAGTTTCACAAATGGCAACTGTGGTTGGATAATGTCTAATATCAAAAAACATTATTGTATCTCAATCAACATTTTCACAACACTTCCACTTCCACAGACACACAGTCTTCCACTTTAAAGTCAGTCACCAGCCAAGAAAAAGACAAGAACATATATAAAATCCATAAAGATAGTAGGCCAATTTACGGGTGATCAATAAAGATATATATCATCTATCAAACGGGTAGCTCAAATCAAGTAATCTGATTGGTTCATATAGTGGTATAATGAGCCTATACCACAACTATGACGTTGAATTCCTTTACACAGATCTGTATCACTTCGCGATGAAGTAACATTAGAAAGTAACACCAGGCACAGTATCAGTACCACACACCTATCAACCACAGTATCACCTGGCAACAATGTTACCAAGAATAAGCAAGCAGGGACACAGCAAAGATACACAAACCACTGCCTCCGCAGTACCACAATTCAAAAACTGTCGGCTGCAGGTCTTGAAACGAGAGAGATTATGGCTGTAGAGCTATTGGCAACTGAAACTTGGGGAGAAAGTGGAGTAATATCCTCACTGCAACACCAACATCTCCACCTCACAAAAAATGTAAGCCAAGTTCAAATTAGCAAAGTCAAACTACCGATTGATTGAGGGCTAGGCAGTGTTTTAGTGGCTGCACAACAACTTGCAAATAAATATAAATAAATAGTTCTGATAATTCTAGCCTTTGATGTGTGTTGCTTAACAACTGTCATCCACTATGTAGCCTACCGGCAGCCTGGCGGGACTACTTTTTGTATTCATAAAGAAATAAAATAAAGCAGCGCTTATTATCTCACAGTTAAGGGGCGTTGTTTGCTGGCAACCCCCTTAACTGTGATATAATAAGAGTAAACGATGGCCTGCCGTGAGCGATTGTTTAAATATAAATACAGTATTAAATCATCATTGCTGATGAAACAATAGTGTCACAACGTTCCCATGACACATTAACCCGAAACACAGAAAACCTGCAGTTTCTGGAAAAACTGTGATGGTGTGAATGCAACATGAGGTGTTTTTAGTAAGAATAGAGGAAGTCAATGATGTACTCACAGAATAACCCCAGCACACCAAACAAAGTGGTTTCCCTCTTCACATCCAATACTGACACTCTGTCGCTCTGCACCTGGCAAATATTACCACTTTAAAGCTTGAAAGCATACAGTATGAGGAAGACTAAGAGGAAGCTGTGCCAGTAAAAAAACTTCTCTATCAATATGATCTCACAGGCTGACAACAAAAAATGTTTCTAAGAATGATCCACTCCTCCTTACTTCCCTTTTTCACAAAGCTCACACAAGTACAACCACTTCCTGCTCAGGCAAGGCAATTTAACTTGAGCCTTGTACATAGTCCCTGCTAAAAATAATGAATAAAGAATAAACACTTTGCACTTATCATATCAGAGAGAAAATTATGTAGGAATGGCACAGGTACATTTTATGAATGGCAGTATCATATTTGTGGATAAACAGTAAAATGTTTCACTGTAACACGTAGGGGAGGATTTAAGCTTCTTTGTCATTCTTGGCCTGACCTTTATTGTGATGATTAATCTGAGCATACATCACATGTTCATCTAAAACAGAAGACCAATGTCAGGATTCATTTGTAAAACAGCCATGTTATAAAGCTCTGATATTAGATGATAATAGCTGTAACTAATGTTTTCATTGACTTTAATATTTAAAGTCCTTAATAAAATTTAATTTAGGAAAATATTTTTACTTTTACTGTATGTTAGAGGGAGAAAAAGTATTTAAGCCTGTGTTTCTACCTCAACTTCACAGTTCCTCTTAACACTTTGAAATAAGTGTTGTAACAGCATAAATTTAGAAACTGTAGCCTAGTCATCACACTGACATCAAAGCTAATATGTCTGAAACAGTAAGCTGTCTATTCAAACTAAAACCATTAAAACAGCCACAGAAATGTCAATTTAACATAGCCAATATGAGTAAAGTAATTAAATGAATTTCAGAAAGACCGTTTGAATTTCCTGTTTTGAATTACATGGGCATACTTTTACATGTTTCAGCAGTCCCACCCTTGATCTAGTTTAATTTTAATAACCTTTTAACCTTATAATCTTCTTGCCTTAACTTTCAGTTAGCTGCTAGTCTCTCCTCCCGTCCTCTCTTTTAAATCAGGCTTCTCTGAGCTGGACCATCAGTCGTCCTGGGTCCTCTCTCTCTCTCTCTCTCTCTCTCTCTCTCTCTCTCTCTCTCTCTCTCTCTCTCTCTCTCTCTCTGTCTCTCTCTCTCTCTCAATTCAATTCAATTCAAATTAGCTTTATTGGCATGAATGACAACAACATTGCCAAAGCATCATATATACAACATAAGAACAATCCGCCCCATACATTTCATTAAACAAGTAATTAAAGCGTATGTGTGTTTGTGTTAAAAAAAAGAAAAAAAATAGAAATATTAAAAATTAAAATTAAATAAATAAATAAAACTGTAAGTGTGTGTGTGTGTGTGTGTGTGTGTTAAAAAAATAAAATTATATTAAAAATAAAATAAACAAAACAGTAAGTGTGTGTGTGTCTTTAAAAAAATATTAAAATAAAATAAATAAACAAAACAGTAAGCGTGTGTGTGTGTGTGTTAAAAATAAAATATATTAAAAATAAAATAAATAAATAAAACAGTAAGTGTGTGTGTGTGTGTGTGTGTGTGTGTGTGTGTGTGTAAAAAAATAAAAATATATTAAAAATAAAATGAACAAAACAGTAAGCATGTGTGTGTTAAAAATAAAAATATATTAAAAATAAAATAAACAGTCTGACATTTGGGAAACAGAGTCCGTCTTGACTGTGTTTGAGCACCAAGAACCATAGATTTAAAGTCCACTTCCTCTCATCTTGCCGGATTCTTGCGCTCACAGCACGAAACATGGACCACCTGTCGAGTGCTTGATCTGGGATGTTGATGGGGGAGGTCTCTGTAACGATGGGGGAACAACAGTCTCTGAATTCCGTTATCTGGTCAGTATGAGTCCCATTTTGTCCAGACCAGATCTCTAGGAGCAGAATTAAATTCAAACTGGGCCAGCATGGCTCCTCTCCTGGCTCTCTTTCCTCTCCTCTGAACAATCACTTGAACCTGGTCCGGTTGTTTGTGCCAGGTGGATCGTGGTAGGCTGCTCTTTAATCCAAAAACCCTGTCTTAATATTTGTGATACCAGACAGTATAAATAAAATGTATTGAGCTAGTTGTGATTCAATATTCAATATATGTATTTGGCAAAAATATGCTGTGGTTACACCCAGTCTAGTTGTGTGACCTTTAAGTAAAAGGGAAGGAAGCAAAGACTCTAAACGTAGAAGAAGAAGTTTGAGAAACCTTCCAGTCCAATATTTATATGAAACTTATCTTCTGTTTTTCCACAGTTCCTGCTTTCTCTTCATATGCTGCAGTTTAAAGGTTTCTCTTTAGACAGTTAGAAGGTTTTTTCAGAAGCAGGGTCTCAGAGTGTCGGTGCTGGATCTGAGGATGGGAAACACTTTGCTCTGTGTGCTGGGGATTTTCTGTGAGTATCACTGAATTTATCTGATTAAATAACTCTTGCTATCTACAATAATTCTATAATATATATTTGATCCTTTCTGTCAGTTTGATGAAGTTTCAAACTCTATTGTAGTGCTGAATATCCTCCTCTACTGTGGACATGGTCAAGATAATTATACAAGTTTCTTTCTTTATTATTATATTAATCGAGATGTCTCTGTATCACTCTTGAACACATCTTTTTTCTGTCTAGACAGAAAAATATGTGTTCAAGAGTGTAATGTTATGTTAGAAAGGATTTTTACAGTATCTTACTGGCAACAGTGTTTCTGTAATTCAGATTTACAGTACTATAACTGTTTTTCACTTTTACAGTAACAAATATGTTAATGTAATTATGTAATTCAGAATACAGTACAGTTACTGTAAAAAAAAATCTACAGTTACACTACTGTGATCCCATTTTGTTTAGATTATTTATATATTATTTATTATTCATTTATGGATGCATTATTTTTAAACATACACAAGTACTAATGATTTAACCCAGACAGACACAGTAATTATAAAATTTAAAATTCTTTATTTAAACATTTGTCATATTTAATGCACTTTACAAGAAATGTTATTTTCAGAAATTAATTTAAAATAACATAAAAGAAATTAAATTACATGTATAAACCTTACCTCAATTATAAGTGCATTCAATGTTACTGTCAAAACACAATGCAGAAAGTACTGTGCAGAACAAAGTATCTGGACGGCATACAGAACTGTATATTTACCAACAACAGAAGACCACAAAGAAAATACTCATCTGCTGACTGGGATGCTTTTTTACAAATAATCATTAACCGCACATAACATAGGAAATAACAGTAATAATAGATACTGTGCTTTTTGGTACAAAATACTAAACATTGTCTGAATATGAGTGAAATATCCATGTCAAATGACTAACTCTTTAAGTACATATAAAAAAAATATTCTCTGGGGTGTACCATTCATGTAACTCGTGTACAAACCAAACACTTTCACTGCTGCACATTTGGATCTAAACCGACCTGCAATCTGCTACTTTTCTGGCATGAAGTCTGTTGTTCACAGCTTGTTCAGGGATGGATGGCTCCCCTGTAGGTAAAGAATTTTGGTCATAATTAAGTATTTACACTGATAGAGTTGATAAAATATATCAATATCATATCTTGCAAAATGATCACATTGGAATCAGCTTTCCTCTAAAACTCTAAAATCAATAAAAACTGAAAATTGTAGCCTTTGTGAAAGAAATATTTGCAGGGCAGGTGTCCCTAATAAATAGGCAACTGTACTGTGAATAGTACACATCCTGTTGAAAAAAGTGTCTCACCTAATCCAAGTTCTTCCACTCAAACGCTGTTAGCTGGTGGACAAAGGATGACACTCTGTTGTTGATGACTGCCATCTTCCGCTTCACTATTTCTCCTGTCCTACGACTCACTCCAGTTTTTGCGCTGCATTTGGTTCCATCAACTGGATTTATCTTATGTAAAGTTAGTATTTACTGCAAAAATCATGTCATTTTTCTGTGGGTTTTGCCTAGAAACTGTGCCACTGCAACTAATGTGAGGAAAACTACTTAACGTTAATTTTTACATCTTGAGGATAATGAGATATTTTAATTTGTTTTATATTCTATGGCGTCACACTACAATAAAACATGAACAAGAAACATATTCACTTTTATGTTAGTTGTAACATGTACTGCATATTTAGAACAGGCCTATGTTAGTTATAAGCTAACATATGAAATGTACAACAAATGAATCTAAAACTAGAAATGTGCCTAGCTATCACTTAGTTTACAATAATGCAATTAACTGAACTGACTTACAACTTACAGTTAGTCTCCTTACATTAGCTTATTATCAATGTGAGCTTGACATAATACATTTGATTTTAAAACTCAAAAAGTCTTCTGTAAAATTAAACATCAACTCTGTTCACTTTGACAAAGTTAACGTTAAGTTACCAGTTTGAGCGCACAGACAATAGCTTATCTTTTTTTTTTCAAGTAACATACTTTTGAATTCACTTTTCTGTTTTGTTTTTACCTTGGGTTTGTCGTTGGTTCGCTGTCTTCACCACAGGTTAACTTCCACTGGTGTTGTCTTAGTTGTGTGTGCCTGAGCTTCCACCCAGGCAGTGGTGAATGAAAGATGAAACTACTGATGCATCTGTGCCAAAACGGCAGTTAGGCAAAATACAGTAACATGGATGTTACTGTAATCATATACAGTGGTTTACTGTAATTTTAAAATTTGATACATCAGATTTTTTAATTACAGTAAACCGCTGTATATGGTGTCTGACGTCACCTAAAATTCCCATAATGCAATGGAAATTACAGTTATTTACTGGAAAGAGGATATACAGTATTATACTGGGTGTTATGTGGTTAATAACTGTAGAAATTACAGAAATGTCTAACAGCAATACTGCAATGTATTTCTCATTTCACTCCATGTATCTTGTGTTGGTTTCTAGATTCTCTGCCATTGAGACCTTCATATGTGACATGAGGGAAGGAAAAGACACTGACTGGTATTACAGAATGAACAAGGATGGTCAAGAATATATCTCCTACTACACAAATAAGGACTATACATTACAAGCTCTAGTTAAAGGCCACAGCGGTGAATACCAGTGCTTTGGTCATCACAAGGTCTCAACTAATTTTATAAAAGAAAGTAATAAAGTCTCTCTAACTGTATCAGGTAAGTGATCAATGTTTTACCATCATGACCAACTTCCCTAAAAGTACTTAAATAATAATAATATGCTGTTGGAGTTCTAGTGTAAATACTAGTTTAACCTTAAAGTTTGACCAGCTCCACTAAAGCTGTTTATGCAGCCACTGTGTATGAAGGAGAATCAGTGACTCTGCACTGTAGACATCGGACTCAGACAGAAGAGAAGAACGCTGTCTTCTATAAAAACGGATCACTTATTGAGAGGGACACAAACCATCAGTCATCAATAATATCACCAAACACAGTTGAAATGACCATTCAGCCATTGAGGACAAAGAATCAGAACCGATAAAACTGAAAGTTGAACGTAAGTAGTTTTCAAAATAAAGTTTCAACATTCAGGGACATTTTGCCAGAAGGAGCTGCAGACATGTAGCATTCCCAGAGAGATGATTTCTCTGCATTATCTTAGAGACACTGGACACAAAGAGAAGGCTGTGTCTAAATGGTCATTCATTCATAAAAGTTTGTTTAAACTTTAATCCATGGTTTATGTTAATGTTGCCAACAGCTTCAGTCATTAAGTGTGAAACATAAGTATAGCTGCTAATGATTTCCATCAACAATTAGCCTAGTTGTTGCACCACCAAGAATGCTGGATTTTGTATTTCTCATTTCAATTATCTTTTAAACTGGACTTATTTACAGGTACATTAAGTACTGTTTTTACATCCATCCATCCTCAACCGCCAGTCCATCGCAGGGCCACACACAAACAAACAACCACTCACACTCACATCCGCACCTAAGGACAATTTAATTCAATTTAATCTAATTCATACACAAAACAAGCAGAAATATAAGTCTTTCATATTGTTCCTATCGGTTTCACAGATGAAGAAATTATCCTGGTGAGCCCTGTCCATCCTGTGACGGAGGGAGATTCTGTTACTCTTGGCTGCAAATTGAGGGCAGAAAAAATGCTTTCCAATGTCACATTCTACAAAAATCATCAAATAATGACAGAGAGGAGCTGAATATCTCTGCAGTCTCAAAGTCAGACGAAGGTTTCTACAAGTGTGAATACTCAGGAAATGTGTCACCACAGAGTTGGATGTCAGTAAAATGTGAGTATGATTAATAAGTCCTGTGTTCATTTTTTATGTGTGCTACAGTAAATCAGCAGATTTCTGTGGTATAGCTTCCTTCCACTAAGATTCAGGACACATTTTTGAAAATCGTCCTCTCCAAGTAAAGTAAATGAATCATTTTCAGTCAAATGTGGTTTATTTGTTGCAGTAAAGAGTCTGCAGCAATAACAGCACATCAAATCCAGAGTTATTATTCAGTGACCTTACACAGCCGAATGCTTCATAAGGCTCATTGTTTTTCCTTTATTTATCCACTATCCATGAAACACGACTGCAATGTAATCCTTAGCGGCAATTGCATACCTTCAACTTACACCCACTAAAAGTCCTTGTTTTTTCCACTGACATGGTCAGATTGTTGTTGGCATCTGACAACATTTTGAAATACATCAGGCAGACATTGTTCGCCACATTTTACAGAAAACCAGGTCCTGATGATAGAAGTTAAAAATAAAAATATTCAGAAAACACAAATTAGCTATTGCCGATGTACCTGAAGTCTCTCCAAGTAAATGCAAAAGACTATTTCTTATAAATGTACACATCTACATCTTTCTCAGTATAGTCTTCCTAGAATTAATCAAAAGAAAAAAAGGGCAACCCGTTGGAGATACATAGACATGCACCAAATGTACCAAATGAAAGGTCTGCTCAAGCCGGATCGATTGATGACCCCCCCCCCCCATCACTGCGGGATGTTCCATTCTCAGTCTACAGGCCTGTAAAGCATGAGTGTGCTTTTGGTGACAGGAATGTTGATGAATACTCACTGTTTTTATCAATATTTCAATGTTATGTTATTTGGACCTTGGATGTATGGACAGAAAAAATTTATTAAAAATTTCAACCAATAAAAGCAACATTTTAACAGTAAAAAATATGGCCATTCGCCTGGTATATTTTGAATGAAAACTGTTGTATTTTAGTTTAATTTAATCAGATTTACAGTTACAATTGCATTCTAGGTGTATTAGAAGATATTCAGTTGCATTAAAAGCTTCGTTATGATGGTTTTGATGGTTTATTGCATTAAAATATAGCTTTTATTAAGTTCATTAATAGTTATTCTTTATTATTGCAGCATCCAGCTCTCCAATTCCTCTGCTGCTGATTGTTGGGCTGGTTATTTGTATCTTCCTGTTTGTTCTCCTGTCATTGCTGCTGCTGTGTTGGTACAAAAAAAGGACCTTTTCTTGTTTATTCTATATAAATACCTCTCTGCATATTAAAATCACTGAGGAATTCTGATGTCAAGATATGGATCAGTGATTCAGTTTTCAAAACAAAATCATGTAACGTAATAATTACGTCTTTCACAGATTCATGTTGTCACAGGTTGGTACAACACTCTCTTATCTCATCTTCAAGTTAACGTAACGTAACAAACATTTTAACACATTAGTACTTAAATAACATGGTTTACTATATATTTCAGGCTCATCCAGTCTCAGAGAACCAATCAAAGCTCTGCTACAGTCCAAAATGTCAACCAAGATGAGCAGCAAGTATACTCCTCTCTTCTCCATGGTCAGTCTTCTAGCTAATCTTGTATTACTTTCAAAACTATTTCTGACACTCTTATGTCTTAAATTTATATCTAGATATTATATTTAGAACTATTAGAAACAACAGCATTTGTGGAAGAAATTTATAAATAAGCTTGATGGAAAAATAAAAATAGATAGCGGCACTGAAGACACAAAAAGGCACTGGAAACAGGCAGAGTTTGGCTCCACTAAGAGTCAATTATTCTTTTGCAAGACATGACAATGAGTTTGCACCAACCAGGTCTAAAAATGCAGAACTGAAGCTGAGGTTGCTGCAGCCTGGTTTTATACCCTCTACTCGTACACTACATAACATGCATGCATAATAATTATATGAATATCTGACTACATATAACATACAAATATATGTTGTCTAATAAATAAAATATACTGATTACAAACATGTTGATGACCATCTCATCATAGAAAGGCAACTTATAGGCACATTTGTCATTATCTTAACTTTTGGCCTATGTGTACATAATATCCACGTTATATTGGAAACTGATTTATGACACTCTTTTAATGTCAGTTTTCATTTATACACATTCAGCAGGTTTAACACTGTTACGCTAAATCATCATGGACATGAGGTTACTAAATTCACCTTTGATTTTGTTTTTCTTCTGACCTGTAGGTGATGTTTGTGTCTATGAAACAATCAGTGGCTCTGGAAACACTGGAAGTGGTAAAGTATAAACTCGGATTTATGCAGAGCAGTCCAGACTGATAAGATTTAATTGAGTGATTAAAATTAAAGAAAGTAAAAACTTTCAAATTTCAGGTGAACGGACAAATGTATACACAAATGCCACATCTGAGATTCAGCTCAAAGCTCTTGTAAAGAGAAGTAAGTACACAAAATTTTAAACATATTTTGGTCACATGACCATAGGATGGCCAGTGATGTTGGGTGATAAGGTCTGGATAGCAGTCAGTGCTTTTTAAATCATCCCAAAGATACTGGATGAAACTGAGGTCAGTTCTTCCACACCAAACTAGCTTGCTTTATGCAGGAGGACATTATCATGTTGACGTAGGAAAGGGCCTTCCCCAAGCTGCTGCCATAAAGCTGGAAGTAAAAGCACATTAAAATGTCATTGTATGCTACAGCCCTAGGCCAAACGTTCACATTGGTGTCCACATAGTTTGTGTGTAGCATAAATTATGTTATAGGTTAATATTTCAAGTACATATTTATCACTTGTATTTATTTTGATTTCCAGGTTGAGAAAATGAGAAAAGCAGGGACAACAACATGAAAAACAACATATTTAAACAGTGTTGACAGTATTTATAAAACTGATGCCATCCAAACATCATCAGATCATGTGAAAGACTTTCAACTGTAATATGTATAATATAGATTTAATTTCCTGTTGATTTCTGCTGAATTTGCCTTTTTATTTTTATTTTTATTTATTTTTATTGCAATAATTTAGTTATTCTGTAGGTGAGATGGCATATAGGTCTATATGTGTCTTTTCATGTCAGCATGGCTTTCGGCAGGGTGTTTTGTTGTCTAGAGTCGTTTCAAGCTTGCAGTTAAATGTGGTAGCATTTTTGGTAATGTCATTATCATTGTTTTATTTTGAGCCTGCAGATCTGGGCTTCATCACTTTGTACGTTCACCATTCATTGTGTGTGCACTACAGTCATCTGTGCAGCTCACTTCATCTGCTGTTAACGAGACATGTCATTTATCTAGTAGTAGCAGCCTACATGTCTTGTAAAGAATTGGAAAATTGGAAAATGGAGACTTTTTGTCAAAGACGTACATTGTGGTTACTCTTTACTCTATTTTTAGAATTTGACATATTTACCATCAATAAAATATCGTTTTACATAAATTGATTGTGTAAGTGGTGAAATAATTTGAAACAGACAGTTTGTTTACAAACATCTACTGCTAGTCTTGGCAGGTGAGAGACACTTTAGATTGTAATTGTGGCCCTGCTTCCTTTATTTTGCTCTCTGTTAGTCTGCGACTTACTGAGCCCAAACACCTTTTTCCCTAAAAAGCACAGCATACATACAAACAGAAACAACATCATATGTAATATATAAAACTAATTTTATTCCATGAATAGTGTTTTGGGGACAATACACTGGTCATAAAAAATACTTTCACAACCACAGCTCCAGAAGAAGAGGGGAGAGAAAGAAAGAGAGAGAGAGCTTCCTCACTTAATGCGCCAAGTATTCTGAAATGAGAAGTGATTACACATCTTAAAGAGGTCATATTGTGCTTTTTGGCTTTTTCCCTCTCCTTTAAGTTATATATCTTTTTTGTGCATGTAACAGGTTTGCAAAGTGAAAAAGCCCAAAGTACACCCCAAAGGGAGTTCCCATCTCCCACAGAAAACTCAGCTTGTTTGTAGTCCAGCTGCTTCCCTTTCATCGCCTCATATAACGCTCGCCAAGTGGCTACTCCGACACACCCTCAAAAACACCGATGGAAAAACACTGAGCTGCAGCACAAACCTCTCCGGGCTTCAAGGTATGCTTTCTCACATTTAGTGGGCGTTTCACAGGTGTTTTGGTGTTAAAAAGGTATGAAAATTTAGTGCGCTTGCGTAAACAGCAGGGTGTTCAGGGAACCACCGTTTCCGTTGAAAAAAATGTTTTGCTACGTTTTGTCTGCGCTGAACTCAGCCCAGCTTCTCATTGTCCCGCCCTTCTCTGCTTCTGATTGGCTAGTAGCAGAGATGGGGACTCGAGTTAGAGACTCAGACTCGAGTGCGACTTAAGTCGCACACACAGTGACTTCAGACTTGACTTGAGACTCGTCCTTAAAAGACTTCAGACTCGAATCGGACTCAAGGTGCGGGACTCGTGAACAATGTTTATTTTAGGAAACGTCTGATGAGCTTGCCGCTATTCCCTCCCTCTGATAATATAACCTGCCTACATTACATGGTTGTGCTCTGTAAGTTAAAAACAGGTTACAGCTTTATTGTTGACCATGTAACTTTACAGTTTAATTTAGTTAACTTTACACTGGGTTTGAGAGTCAACAGGGTTTGTTGTCTTACAGTAGTTTATAAGCTGTAATTAATAGTAGACGCATTGTACATTAGGCTACATGGTTGTGCTCTGTAAGTTAAAAACAGGTTACAAGTTTATTGTTGATTATGCAACGTCACAGTTTTATTTAGTTAACGTTACACTGGGTTTAAGAGTCTGGGGAGTGTTTTGACGTACAGTATTTAATAAGTCGTCAATAATTGCATTGCATATTAGCCTACATGTGCTCTGTAAATGAAAACAGGTTACAGTTACAGAATTACAGCTTACAGCTATGCAGTTTTATAAGCAACCTGGATTGAACGCAGCAGGTGATACAACATTCGTTATAACCATGAGAGACTTGACTTGGACTCTAGCTCAAAGACTTGTGAGCATCTCTGGCTATTAGTCCTTAACTAGGAACTGTGCATGTGCAACTCCCAATAAAGGTAATTTAGAGACAAGATGCATCACTCCATAGCTAAAACGAAGCCTTCAACACAGGGTGAAAAGAGGAGCTGCAGCAATGTGCAGTATGAAAAAACATATGGTGGTGAAAATTAAACCATGTAAACCTGTTCTGGTACAACCCCTAAATAAGATTTTGAACCTGACAATCAGCATAATACCACCTCTTTAATAAAGACTTAGCAAAACAGCTTTCTTGACCAGAGGAGTCAGGCATCATGTTTGTTTAAGTTTGAGGTACAGTCACATATCTGAAATCATATTTCTATCTGGCCACGTACAGTATGATCTTATACCTCCCACAGACCTTCTGCTGGTTTCAGGTAGACTTTGGGGGTAATTGTGTCTAAAATTATGGAAATATGGAACAATATGGAAAATATTTTCTTTTTATGTTTGTCAGCTAAATAAAGGTTGAATTAACATATCACAGATTTTTGTTTTTATTGTCTTTTGGAAAAGATCCCAACTTTTCTGGAAAAGAAGGTTTGTATGTAACAAGTGCATCATACAATTCTGAACCTTTTCTTAGCTGCAGTAGTTCGTAGCTGTAGTTCAAATGAGACGACATCCAGGTTACAGTTCAGTTCTAAGCCACTTACTGTATCACAGAAAGATTTTAAAGGGGAGAGAACGTCAATCATATTATTAGACAGTAATGTGGGAGGGCAGGTGGAAATGTGACATGTTCCTGCTGCATCCTATTGCCTCTCTATGATTTCCACCCCATGATGTAAAACATGTTAAAATATCTTATAATTGTTTAGATTTCATTCAAAGAAATACATCTGACGGTTAAGTGACCTACAAAGTCCCTCAGCTGTACGAGCATCTCTCTGCCCCCTGGTTCAAAGTTTGTGGTCACATCTCAGCTCTGCAGTCCTTCACTACCCAGAAGCAATTTACTTTTTACTTTACTGGATCACCAAAAGTAGAGGGAAGATTATAAAACAAATTAAACTGGGTGTGTAAAGGAACTCATGCTAAAGCTATTAGGAACACTGGTGACAGGCAAATGCTGTTTATTGATGTAGAAATATGTCAACCAAACTTTTAAAGTACAAAACATACTAAATCCATCCAGGTGAAAATAAAACACATCAAACTATTTATGAAGATAAATTGGAAAATGTGTGACAGAAAATGTTGTTACAAATGTGTAAAGCTTTTTCATGAAAAACTGAAAAGATGCTGAATTAAAGCCATGCTTTAAATTTTACACCCATTTATAACCCATTTAACCATCCATAAAATAAATAAAGACAGTGACTAATCCAAATATGCACATTATATTATGCTGCATTTTTACCAATAACTGTTCCTGGTTTGACTTCAGAATAAACTGTTTCATCCGCTGCTGCAGGACTTGAGTTTCCTATAAAAGGAGAGACAATCTATTTTGATACATTTGCCAGTTACACACCAGTTTACCATGATAATGTACTGATACATGTAGGCTATGTAAACTGTTTTCTTCAGCAATGTGTACATCCATAATGTAAAATAAACATACGAAACAAAACACTAGATAACACATGTTACAGGTTTGAATAGTATGTAAACAAAAAAAACAAATTTTTATTACTTGAAATCAGTAACACCCTAGCATTGTAAAAAAATATTGAAACATATTTCTGTTGGATGGACACAGAACTCAAGGCCACTGTGTGAGAAGCCACTTTTCAGGTTTAATTTGTACAGCAGTTATAAACTGTTTATGCTGTGCGCCTGTAAAGCCCACTGAGACACTGTATGTGAGACTGGGCGATACAAATAAACTTTGCTTAAAGGATTGGTTCACACTTTTTCAAGTGTGGCTTAAAACAATAGTCACATGCCCATATGAACATTGAACATGTTTTGCTTGCTATAATCATCCCCCCCTGTTCATACTGGCCATGAAGAGATCCCTTCCTAATGAGCTTTTAATGGAAGTGATGGGGGACAATAAAACATTTTTACAAGGAAGGAGGGCGGTGGTTAATGTAGACAACAACAACAGCTGGTTTCAACAGCTGGTGAAATATTATGTCATAATTATTTAATCAAACATATCTGAAAACAACATACTTTAAACCAAAAAGCCTTAAAACTCTTATATATACAGTCTATGGGGTTACGATCTGACCATTGCTGCCTTCTATTGGAAATCTTAAAATATTACACTGTGGCAGGCAGCAATAACAACATCTAAAGCTTTGTTGTACCTGTCTGAACCTGCAGCTGATCCTATCTTCACATCTGAATAAACAGGGCTCACCTCTGGTGCATTATCAGATGGATGCATGAAAAGACATTTCCTGGACTTAATTTAGGCACTGCTGGACACAAAAAACATCTCACCTAATTGACTGTAATTCTCACAACATAAAATAAAGTACTCACCCTTCTTAGCAATGTTTTTCAGCTCAATCAAAGAATATGTGACCTCGTTGGATTCATCTGAAATATATATTGTTTAAAGTTCAGGGGTTGTCCATTATTTATTTACCTTAAAAGGGCTATATGTAAGTTTTTGATTTTAATAATCCGGAGAAACCCGGAAGGGAAGAGTAGAGGACGCAGCTGCACCAAAGACGGCAAGCTAGAGACGCGGTGGTCACCACGCACGACGTGAGGCGGAGAGTCGACGGAGACGAGAAAGGGACTGAGGTGAACGTCGGAAGCGAGTCACCACACTGCCGAGCACCCTTTGGCTAGACGCAGCGGCCCGGAGCCAAGACGAGACGCCTCGGAGTAACTG